AGTAAGAGAAGTTAAGTCTCTTCTTCTTCTTCTTCTTCTTCATCTTCTTCTTCTTCTTCTTATTCTTCTTCTTCTTTCGTCTTTCAGATGGTAAAGTTTAGAAAGCCCGAGGCGACATGGAAGCCATGGTAGGAGAAGAAAATTCTTGTGGAAGGGGAATAGCTCAAAGTTCGAAGCTCGATGCGGCCAGAGGCCCCGAGAGACGAACCGAGAAATAGAAGTAGAAGAGGAACAGGAGAAGGGAAGGAAAATAGACAGAGAGAAAGAAAGAAAGATAGGGAAACAATGTGCTCTCGGAGAAAACGCACTACGCCAAGTAGAAAAGTCTGACGAAAAGGAAAACGGAGGAGAGGAGAGTAGAAGCTGATCAGAAGGAGAGAAGGCAGAGAAAGGACGAAAGGTTCGTACAGGAATGAAAAGGATTGAGCGTCCGTGTACGCGAATGCCAACGTATTTCTCGATAAGGAAAGACAGAGAGAGCTACTCCAAGTTGGAGATATCCCACGAATTCGTTCCTAGAGTCACAATGGAAAGCGCAATACAGATTCCAGTCGGAGAGTTCGCTTCGTTCGAGCGACTCTCGACAAACGTACCAACGGATTCGAATTTCAATCCGAGAGAACGAGACTTTACGAACAAAACGTCAAATACTCCGTAATTTTATTTGCAAATCTACCGGAAGCTTCGTCCGGTCGCAATGAAATTTTCTCCAAAACTTTGCTTTTCGAGTTTAAACGAAGCCCTACGACTTGGGAGATTCGTTTCTTATAAATAAGTTGCAATATTTGCAACAAGATGATTACAATTACTTTGGATATAGAAGGTAATTACCGAATTATTAAGATACCGGTGTGTCACAGTTCTCTTTTCGTTCTCTCCCTGTCTCTCTCTCTACCTACTTTGACGATCTTTCATAAATTAGACAAACAATTGTCAAGGAAAATGCAAAGAAAAATATTACTCAAAGTGGAGTATAAAAATTCATTCAAATCTTCGACATGTTCTCGAATTGACCGAATCCATTTCGAAAAATCACGTTCCAGGATCCAACGCGATACTCTCAAATTGTATTCTCCATGTTGTATGGAATATTCCGTGTTCGTTCTTAACATATAATTTTTTCGGCAGAAATTCAAAGCGTTAGAAAGAAATGATGCCTAATGTTAAGCTTACTTACTTAATGTTAAGTTTCACCGATTTGTAAAGAGTCCGTTTCTTGATTGGATTAATCAAAGTGTATTCCAACCACGATTATCTCTCTCGCACATATAGTTTCGAATATAATCCATGCCACCTTTAGTCTCTCTCATTCTAATCCTTTTTATTTTTATTTCCTTCCTCTTTTAGCTTCGGATCGAAAATTCATGTTACGGAGGCTCAAGAAGTAATTCGAGTATTCGAATTCCAGACGCGCAAACATATATACCTATACCTATACGTACCGGAGAAGAAAGGAAAAAAGGGAGAGAAAAAGGGAGGAAGAAATACCTTGGCAAAAGTTCGAGTATGAAAGAGAACAGGGATATATTTCGACAAGGCATACCGAGACGAAAGGAAACGTACGGACGAGGGACCGAACGAGGGACCGAACGAGGGGCCGAACGAGAGACCAAACGAGGGACCGAACCAAACTGACAGGAGCCTCTCTCTCTACCTCTCTTCCTCTTTCCTCTTAAGAGAAAGAGGAAGGAACAGGTTGAAGTTGGGTCACAAGATCTCCTCTTATTTGTCTCACACCACCCTTTTTATTGAGATTCCTCGAGGTAGGCGCTATGGCGTATTGTCCTCGATTGAATATAATTTATATTTAATATCTAAAAAGTGTTTATAAAACTCCTACGCGCGCGTTGAAGGATGGATTAATAATATTATTAAAAAGGACACGTAAGAGATTCTCTCTTTCTCTCTTTCTCTCTCTCTCTCTCTCTCTCTCTCTCTGTTATTCCTGCGAGTTACCTGTAAATTTCCAAAAGAAACGATAAAGAAAGGAGAGAATACATTGACCCGAGAGTCCGTGCCGTGAGAAAGAGAAAGAGAATGAGAAAGAGAAGTACCGTCGCTAGCCTTCTCATTATCAGCGAGGTCGGACAAGACGTTTTGCAGTAATCCAAAGGAGAGTTCGAGTCGTGACAACGGTGAAATATGTAGCCAAGGTGGTACGAAGTGCAACGAAGCGAAAGGATGGATCGCGGAGGTTGGTGAGAGACGACGGCATGATATAAACCGAGGACACGAGAGGCCCCGTGGGACTGCCAAGCCACACGGTTTCGCTCCTCCTCCTCCTCCTCCTCCTCTCTCCCCCACCACTCCCTTTCACGGATACGAAAGCGAGAATCTAGGACTCTTTCTCGTCCTCGAAGTGCACGCGCACACTTTGTATGTGTACCTGTGTACACCTCGTCCGAATCGTGGCCAAACCCGATTCTTTCCTCTTCTTCTTCTTCTTCTTCTTCTTCTTCTTCTTCTTCTTCTTCTTCTTCTTCTTTCTCTTACAAAAGTCGTTGCATCATCGTTGAGCGCGAGGCACACGATCCCCTTCTATAGGCTGGTGCATCGCGATGCAATTCTACTCATTTTTACACGCTATATTACATTAACCTTCTCCTTTCGCAATTGTTTGCTCTTATTATTGCATTCCGTAGGAAAGTTGAAAGTTCAAGTAAAGTCTATAATAAAATTGTAATGTGATATAAAAGTAAAATTAGAAAATTACAAAATACGGAAGGATTGGATAAAGAAGCGCGCGTAGCCATTGTATTTCGTCCCCGCGCGTGGCCTCGAATAGAAGAAGAAAACAAAAGAAGAAAAGAGTCCAACGTCCAGCAGGAGTAACCCTCCAAACAAATACATCGTGTAATCCGACGAATACTCCCTGTTATTTCAGGTACCTTCTCTCCTCTCCCCCTTCGACCCTTTCCTTTCGACCCCAAACGAGCATGTTCGCATTTTCCCTCGTCGATCGGATTATCGTAGGCACTATTTCAAAAGGGTTTTCCCATGAAGAAAAGGAGGCAAAGCAGCGATTGAAGAGTTTTTATTGCTCGTTGGGTGCGTGATCTCGTTCGACTCCATTTCCAGTGCATGCATCCCCTGTCACCTTCGACCCACCAACTTGAGCAACAGCCGCTGTCCATTCTTTTCCTCGTATTTTCCAAGCAAAATTGGTACTGGTGCTGGTGGTGGTGGTGGTGGTGGTGGTGGTGGTGCAAACCGCATCGCCAGTGTACGGCTTTTAATGGTTTGTACGCCTAGGTATACCAACGAAAATTCTTTCATCCCCGATTAACTTTAAAGCTGGACGTTCCGCGTGCAACCGCTAACGAAGCCGCGCAATTTTTGCGTCTACTCGTCTCTTTCTTCGATACGCAACCCTGAAGTTAAATTGAAAAGCAAAAGAATGCGGTGCGTGTTGCGGTCATAAAAATGAAATAATCTCAACAGTTTTCCTTCTTCTTCGTTGTTTTGGACGTACGCTAGTTAATAAGGAAGAAGGTGATTATGATATGCGGTTAGCGATAATAAGCTTGGCGATCGCAGTTTAAACACACACACACATTCATTTAGTGATAATTCAATTAAGAAATCGTTTTTTCATTTCAAAACGTATTATCTGCAACACCAAACTTGGTTCGATCGATCAAAGGAAGCGAGCAAGGGATTTCATCTATCATTTTATCTATCTGAACATACAAACTACAACTACTATTATTCCTTTTTGCCCTTACAACGTGGAACTTGGAGTTCTTATAGAGCATGTGCGAAGATCATTTGTGTTGAAGAAAAGTGTGGATCTCGAAAGTTGTTATTAAAAAATGATCGATAAATCGAGCTAGACTTGTTTAATCTTATAAGAAATATGATGAAAGAAAAAAAAAGAAGAATAGAAAAAAAAACGTTTTGTTTGAAAACTCTCATCAACTCGATTCTTCGACGTTTTCTACAAGACGAAGAAGAAGGGAAATAAAAACGTAAAGAATTCGACTTACCCACAAAAGAACGGCGTGGTAATTCTCACGAAGAGTGGAAGATGAGAAACACTTGGAAGGAACTCGATAGAGCTGCCGCTTACTTTCGCGTCAAACGCGAAAGGGAAGGAGAATCGGTGCGGTTTGGGGGGGCAAATTCAGTCTCGCACGCCCCCCCAATCTTAAGTTTCGATCCACCGGAAGCTCTGTGCCACCCCTTAGCTGCGACGCCGACGACGACTCGATGACGACGACGACGAAAAGAACACACACACGCACGTACCCGCACGTACACGCACGTACACGCACCCACTTGACTTCACACTCTTTTTTTATAATCAAAATGTTCCTCTCTTTCCTTCTTTCCTTATTTCCTTCTTTCCGTTCTTATTTACCTCTAATCCGTGTTATCTTCCTTCAAGCACCACAATTTTCAGCAATTAATCGATCAATGTACAAAATTGGTCAAAATGATCATTTTAAAAAATCTTTCCTTTACTATGGTTGGCATCGCGTTAACATAAGCTCTTTTATCTCGCAATACCCAAGGCTATACTTTTCTCTTCTCGGCTTCTTCTCAAAATCCTTTTGCTTTTCTTTTTTTTTTTCTTCTTCTTCGTCTTCTTCTTCTTCTTCTTTTTCTTCTTCTTCTTCTTTTTCTTCTTCTTGTTCTTCTTCTTCTTCTTCTTCTTCTTCTTCTTTAGCGAGGACACACGCGACACGACATCTATCTGTCTGATTTATATACCTATTCCTATCCTTCCTATCTACCTATCTACCTATCTACTTATCTATCTATCTATCTATCTTTCTATCTATCTTTCTATCTATCTATCCATGTATCCATCTATCTGTCCATCTATCCATCTATCTATCTATCTATCTATCTATCTATCTATCTATCTATCTATCTATCTATCTATCTATCTATCTATCTATCTATCTATCTATCTATCTATCCATTTATTTATCTATCTATCTAACTAACCTATCTAAGTATGTTTTCGTCCCGTGTCGCGCGAGCGGACCTTTTAAACGCGCAGAAGCATCGCGAGTCGTCAATTCCTCGTCGTTTCTTCTTCTCTCTTCTTGAAGAAAAAAATCGAGAAAAGAAAAGGAAGATTTTCCCTCTATCTCTCTTCGCCGGATTCTCCTTGAACCAAGATTCTGCTTTCGTACCTGCAAACCAATTCGATTCGACTATTATCTTTATTCTTGATCATTATTGAAACACAAAATGACTAAATATTATAAACAAAAGTAATTTATCTTGTTAGATCTGTATAACATTTGATAAAAAAAGTCTGCATTAATTTACCACTTTATAAATCAAATAATATTGCTGCTCATTATCTTCGTTTAAATTCAAAGATTTCGCATATAACTTTAGGGATTGATTTCACCCCTTTGAAAGAGCGATCCCCAAGACCAGTTGAAATATTATATATCATTATTCACATTCTCTGTGCTACGATATAATTTCACAAAGCTCCATTCAAATGAATGATTTTGGACTTCTCTGTGACCAGAACGAATCGAATAATCAAATCTATTAATTAATATTATCGATTCTATGTCATTAATCCGTAAGATTTTCTTCGAAAAAAGACACTTTAGCCAATTGTACAAAAATTACTTATCTCGACATTATTTCTCCTTTAGAATAATTTCTCTTTATTTCATTCGCATTATTTGTGAAAATAATGTGTGTGCGAAATGCGAGAAATCTCGTAATTCGTCAGTAATGTATTAATTAAATATTTCCAAAAAATAAAGATAATGACGAATCCTTTTCCTTTTTTGTTTCGTCTTTGCAACCTTGTCCTTTAGCACAACTCGTTGATTCTAACGTCGATAGGAACGCCGATAGGAACGTCGATAGGAACGTCGATAGGAACGTCGATAGGAACGTCGACACACACACACACACACCTTTTCTCTTTTATCTTGGAAGATACTACCTTTCTCCTTGGCAAGAGTTACTCCTTACTTCAGCGATCACCCACGCTTCATACGAGATTTCTCAACGTGTTCAAGTTATTTCGATCACGATTGCATCTCATTAGCATTGCTAATAGAAATTCGCGCATAAGCTCGCTCGATCTATCTCCCTTGTATTCTTTAACTATCTAAATTGTAAATAAACGCGATTGCGACGTATTACCAAACTTATTCAATTATTGATTAGAACGACAAAATAATAAACTCTCGTCGATTTATCGAATCTCACTCATGCACTTGAAGAAAAAATCAAACCAAACGCATATTTCGATTATCTCATGTATCAACAAAATATCACTGTCGATATTTTAGCTAGACAAGAAAAAAACAAGGAAAAACATGGAATAGATTAAACTAAAAGACGAGCCATCGACGAGAGCACAATCGTTACTAATCCTTTAGATTCCATGGATTGAGCAATTCAAATTCGGCGCCTTTTCTACCCCTAAAGCTTCTCTCTAAAAGAAGAGAGGGGGCGCGAAGAGCGAGGGTGGAGAAAGGGTCGCGCGACATCGAGGTTAGGGGCGGCGAACCCTTGCTGGCTCGCTCTCTCTCCCTCCCTTCCTCCCTCTCTCGCACTTTGTCATTCGCTCACAGTTTTTTTAGTTTCACGCTTACCGGCCGGGTTCGTTCCTATTCTTCCTTCGGTCCTTGTTTCGTCGTATTCTTTGACAACGGGTCCAGTGGTGACTAGGTCCGGTAGCAGGATGCTTCGATTTGTCGGGGGATCTCACCGCCTCGCTGCTAAAATGGCGATCGAAGTGACAGCTTTGGCCCCGCCGCCCCCTTTTATCGCCGACTCCGAGAGCGCCTTGGCCACCCCTTTGAATTTCTTCAAAGCGTGCTTACGCACGCCGGTTCTCCTTCTTTCGCTCCAACTCCATATATTGTTCTTCCTATATCTCTATGTCAATAGAATCACACTTTCTCCCTTTATCAAAAAACATCTATCTACCAATATAATGTTCACATTCTCCTAAATTTACTTTCCCTCTCTTTTGTCCTCGACAAAGACCTTCACCCTCCTTCACCCTCCTTCACTCTTCTTCACCCTCCTACACCCCTCTTTCTTAGAGAAGAAGAAGAAGAATATATGTCGCGAAATATCTTACTTTGCAACGAAAAAAAAGTACACTCGCGTAAGAAGGTGTGTCACAAGACGACGAACAAACCAAAAGTTTTGGAAACAACGACGACGACGACGACGACGACGGCGACGACGACGACGGCGACGACGACGACGACGACGTCTCGTCGTTTCCTCCGTAGGATGGCGGCTCCGATCTCTCTCTTCTTCTCTCTCTCTCTCTCTCTCTCTCTCTATCCCGGACGACGCCTACACCATCACCGCGCGCGTACCACACCACCACCACCACCACCGCCACCACCACCACCACCACCACACCACCTACGGTAAAAGAGACACAGAGCACCGTGCTTGCCCGGACTCACGGGACTCGACTGGGCTATGCCAAGCAGGGATACCCTCGTTCCCGTTCCCGTTCGCGTTCCCGTTCCCGTTACCGTTCCCGTTCCTGTTCCTTTCTCTTGTTCTCTCTCCCCCTGTGGCGCACACGCAGCAACGAAGCGCCACCGGCTACCCTCGCGCCGAACAAATCTACTAACCGTCTCGACACTTTTTGCCCAACCCCAGCACACGATATTACTGTCTTCTTTAATGACGTTGTTCCTTGCCCTTCCAACCTCCCACGCCCGCTATCCAACCAATTACGTACGCTCCCGCTCAGGCACGTAACCGATGCTGCTAACTCTCTTCCCTAATTGGTGTATTACGATTTTTTAATAAATATCTAATGTTTTTCTATAGTTTTTAGTATAAAAAAGACCCGATAAACTTCATGTGGAAGGAAAAGTTTGAAGAATATTTTGTTTCGTTAACGGGTCATTTATGAAAAAAGAATTGTTTCAATTGTTTTTAATGTAAATAAGAAAAATCGAGGAATATTTTTCGAATTGCGATGCTATTTCGTGGGTGCTTTGATTAAAATCGGTCACCCTTAATATCAAAGAACGGAACAGACACGATCCTGATGACTACGATGAAGCAGCACGCGTTACTAACAGGTGTAAGCGACCGAAAAACTTTAATGATCCGCCTTTCATATGATAGTGTACCACTCGTCGCGCTTTTCGAGCTTGCCTGAATCGATTGGAGGAGCATCGTTTATTTATTCGTATCGTTAGAAATAAATTCACCTGGAATACAGACTTTTTTTACCGATTTTTCGCGGTAAAAGGGCTGAGATTTGGAGCGAGTCGAATTTCTCTTATATTAAAGATCATTTTTGGAACGAATTTAAAGAAAGAAAAAGAAAAGAGCTCGAGAAGAGGCAGAAATTTTCATTTCATTTCTTTGTAAAAAGTATACTAAAGATTTAAATAAATAAACAAGAAAGAGAATAAAAAGGAGATATACGATAAAAGAAAAATATTAACGAAGAAGACCGAAAGAGCAATGATTGAAAGGAAAAAGGAGGAAATAACGCGGGGCTCCCTTGGGGCCCCTCCCCACGACGGCCCCTTCGGAGTCGCAAGAGTCCTCGAGCGGATGTACGCACGCGTTCGAGAAGCCGCAATTAACCTGCGGACCTCGATCGTTAGAATTTCTTGGCGGTGTCGAGAGTTGAATCTTCTTCTTCTTCTTCTTCCTCTTCTTCTGAGAATAGCCGTCCTTATATAAAAGCATGTACTTTACTAAGGTCGTATTAAAAAGATGAACATATTAGGACGAAAGATGTGCCTTGTGCGACGTGAGCACCACCTAAACGATGAATGCTTATTACTACTGAGATTTAGTTTGTGTTTAGAGATTTGCTTTTCTCTTGATAAGATAATACGCAATTGTAAGCAATTGAGTGCATCGACAAGCCAATTAATTACTAACAATCCCTTGATCAATCTGCCTATCTAACTCACCATCAAACTCGATAACGTGGCGGAATAACAATACGTATCTAATTGTAGGTACTTTATTTTCGGCCAAATCGACCTTACTGAAATAAGTAGAATCGTTAAAATAGACGAGGGCAAAGAATTCTTCTCCTCCGTCGTGAAATAAGGGAAGAATGAGTTTTGCGATCTTTCCTTACGATAAGAAGAAAAGATGATGCGGTTGTAAGACTCTCGGTACTCATACTCCTTCGTAATAACCTCGTAATACTAGCCATTATATGCTCGGATCATCGCAAAACAATTTTTCATCGTTTTAATGGATTTTATCTATACTAAGAGGGAACATTTGGAAGAAATTTCCAAAGTTACTTGTACGTTCGCAAAAGAGTTTTCATTTTTATTTGACCTTTTGTAAAAGCTAGCTATAAAAATCAAGCCACTGGACGCTAATTTTCGTTATTTGCTCGCATAGTCCGTTTAATTTCATTCTGGGACCGCCGACACGCTAGGGATCAAAGTTCTACCGTGCCAGAGAAAGAGATAGAGAGAAAGAGAGACAGAGTTGGAGAGGAAAATATATCAGAGACCCATGTTCCGCGGCGCGTAATTGAGTCTGTAACAGCGTCCAAATCAGCGCGACGACCAATCATTATATTACCCTGAGTCTCGTTCTCTTCTCGTTCTCTTCTCGTTCTCTTCTCTCTCTCTCTCTCTCTCTCTCTCTCTCTCTTGTCGATCAACGTTCGTTAGTCAGAGCTGCCCTACAATAGTATCGGTTAAGCTTCAGCTTTGTAGTTAAAGCACGAAACTAACGTTTACTGCATCTAACAAATGCGCCTTCCATCTCGCCTTCCATCTCGCCTTCATCTCTATTAACGATTCTATTGGTCGTCTATTCGAGTTGTCTTTATAAGCGAATCAATTCCAATCGCGAAATATTTTTTTTACCGTGTTTTTCATAATTAAACATTACATCGTTCATCAAAAGAATACATTTTTATTAATACGTTATATTTCTCTCCTTCTTTGTCCTTTGTATTACTGTCAAAGTAGAAAGATATTCATTATCATATAGTGGACTAATATGTGTCTTTTAGTATGTCTTCTATATAACAATCATAATTCTTCCCTGAAATAGGGGCGATGCGATAGGTAGTTAGATAGATCGATTACACTTCCTTCGAAACTACCTACTAAACAAGCTTCGTAGGAAGTACGCTAGCAATTATTTCGACAGTACTTGTGTATTGTCTTACAATATCGTTTAATAAACTTTACGACGTAAGTAATATTAACTACCGGGATCTCCTGAAAATTGTTTCTTATACTTACCGATGATCGTAATTATTAACAACGAAGCAAATTTCTATTAAACGCTTACAACTATATATTTGTGATCGATCGATCGCTCTAGAATAATCTTGATATAAATCACGTGGGCATTACTAATATCAAGTTCAAGCACAAGTTCCGTCTTCTCTTCAAGAAACAAGATATATCTACATATCATATGTACATATTTATCTACATATTTATCTATATATTTACGTACGCCGAAAATAGGATTGTTCAAGGCTGGATCGTTAGCGAGTCCATAAGATCAAAGTTAAACGTATATTAGATAAGTATTACATTTAACTAGATATTGTTCCACAACTCTTATATCCGGAAATTTATTATACGTGCATCACATCATAATCGACTTGTCTTTCGATCAGCTGATTCTTCTCATTTAAAGATTTATTGACGTGGAAACACGTGCTATGCTCCTACTATGTGGGTCATGCGAAGAGAAAGAAGGAAAAATAAACAACAATCCGTCATACGATAGATTGTCGAGACAACTATGATAACGCCTAGTCGTTAGGTTGTTACATAAGTAAACAGTATGAAAGCGTTGAAAATTAATCGTTCGACCAAAGTCAGAGAATATATATATATATATGGAGAGAGAGAGAGAGAGAGAGAGAGAGAGAGAGAGAGAGAGAGAGAGAGAAAGAGATGGTTGGCGGTCGTAGTGTACACGATAATTAGGTTTCACTCGCTTTGCTTTAATAATCTAGGCAACATGCAAAGTGCATCGTCGTAGTCCTTGCACGGTTGGAAATACGTAGGAGGCCAAGTTTGACTGCTGTGTACCTCAACATTAACGTTGTCGTTCGCCACTCGCTCCAGGCTCCTAAAGGAGTCTTTCCTTGCTTTCGAAATTTTGCAAGGACCTCCGAAATTATTGATGCGACTGTTTCTGCCTATGACGTAATCGAAACGAAGCTCTGAATTAGAGACGTTCCAAAACAAAACACAGACTGCGAAAAGCGCATATCAATCGCGAGATAATGAATATTAATAACGTTTAAACGACGACCCCCCGGTCCTATTATTATACAATAATTATATTTCCATTTTCTTTATAATGCGATCCGATTATTTTCATTTATTTCAAATAATGGTTGAAATAATTGTTGATTGGCTAATCAAATCAATTCTATCCTAAACTCTTTACTAATTGTAAAGATTATCATTAAAGTTGAAAAAGCCAGAAATTTCGAAAAAAAACAGAGTTGAAATAAATTAAGTTGGCTCTTTCAAAAAGACGAAAAGATAATTAAACTAATATCTCTCTACAGAAGGTTATGTTTTTCTTTTTTTCTTTTTTTTTTCCACAAGCACTGCTACGAAGTATTTCTACGATTGTTTATCAAATTCCGCGATAAGGTCTAATAATTAAAGCTTGAATCCTTTTCTAAGGCTCATATATCAAACGACTCTTGGTAGACTGAACCAAATGTAACGAACTTTTCTTATCTCGTTTACTCTTCACCGAATTTTCATCTATCTCCCTCTCTTTCTTTCTTTTTTTCTGGTATCTTTTCGTCAGGTCGAAAATATTCTCGGAAAGAGAAATATTACTTTATTATATTAAGAAATGTCTTTTAACGTGTCAAATAATCATTATAAACTCAATGTAAAAATAAATTATAAATTACGAATGAAATTTGTTACCTTATAAAAAAAAAAACAAACATTTTTCCTAAATTTACACTCTAAAAAATAAATACCCCGTTCTTATTCTATTCTAGTATTTAGATTAAAAAGTCGTCTATATTTCATTACAGCAGCAGGAAAACGGACGGACGGACGGACGGACGGACGGACGGACGGACATTTATATGTGTGAGAGAAATACTGATAATACATTCATAGAGGCATATACATTGTATCGCTTGATTTTTATTGGTTTCTTTTAAAATGCGCTTCAATTTATGAAATAAAATCGACAACGGAACTGCTTTTATAAAAGTATAAAACGATTACTGAACAAAAAAAAATATATAAAAATATATTATTGACAAAGTTTTTAATCGATAAATGTCACTTTTTTGATTACAAAGTAAATCATAATTGGAAAGAGGAGTAGAAGTAAAAAAGAAGAAAAATCAAACGATATAACTAACTCATATATTTTAAACGGACATCGTGTATAGATTATACACAACTGTATAACGACTGCTCGATATTATCCCTTTTTATCGTTCCTATAACGAACAGGATACGTTTGTGATAGATGCTTCACGCATTGTGGTAATTCGATCAAAGCGTTTCCATACTCACTGACTCACTCTCTCTCTCTCTCTCTCTCTCTCTCTCTCTCTCTCTCTCTCTCTTAGAGTTTTTATTATTCCACGAAAATATATACATATCGAAACGAATTGTTGAAAAATAAAATATGCTTTAAAATTGTCTTTTTATTTTTAAGGAAAAATAATGAGGGTAGATTTTTGTAGGGTTAATCCTACTCAACGGACAGACTTCTTGATTTATTATTTCAAATGTTGCGCACGCTAACCATACACATCTGCTCTTGGAAATAACCGCTCAACGGAAGACACGTGCTCACCACGTGTTACAAAAGACAATCTTTCGATATAACAAATGCCTATCGGATAATTATATATAATATTTGTGTATGCGTGTGCGTGTGCGCGCGTGTATTTTTAAGTGTCTCCACATTGTAATGGATTTTATTGTTTTAAAAATCGCTTAAAATCATTTATCATTAAATCGGTAGCTAAAACGTCAAGAATTATGTATTGAGGATTGTTAGGGTCTGTTTCTGAATTTATTACCGTCGTCCACTTATGTAACCAAGTTGATGCTAAACTACCAGATTCTACTCTAATACGTTTCAATGACTTTCCAGTTGCCTTGACAACTTCTTCTTCTAATTTTAATTTTAATTCATTAATACCTGTAAACATTATAGAGAAATAAATAAAATGTCAAGGATAATATTTAATGATTTTGCAAGTTTACCTGTTGACTCTTTACATGAAATAGCAATCATATCTTCATGTATATCAAACTTTTCAATAAGATCACATTTATTAGCTACGCGTATTACCGATTGTCGTTCAGTTAACATAGGTCTTATTATTTCTTCTACGTGTTGAAATTGTGCCTTCGCGTCGGGATGACTAATATCGTAAATATGTATGATAACATCCTATAACATGTATTATTAGTAACAGTATAACTGGTATAACTATAACTCTATAAAAATGATATTTAAAAAAACGATACGTACAGAGATTAAAGCATCTTCAAGAGTAACCATAAAAGGCGCTAATAACATTTCTGGTACATCTTGAATAAAACCTATGGTATCTATATATAAGACCTTCTGCTTAGATGGTAGTAAACCTTGGTAAGAAATAGTATCCAATGTGGCAAACAGTTGATTCCTTGGTTTCAAATTTTCATCTCCTGATAAGATTTTGATTAAAGACGTCTTTCCAGCATTCGTATATCCAACCACAGCAATGCTTGGAAAATCATAATTTTTTCTCCGATTTCTACTGCCTTTCCTAATTTCCTTTAATTTGTCTAATGCTTTTTTTAATTTAGATTCACGAGCTTTCAACATTTTTTTCCTATTTTCCTCAAAATTAATTTGACCGCTGTGTTGTTCATAAAGTTCACCCATTTTCTTCCAAATATATGGCAATTCGGCCAAAGCTACCTGTAATAGTGCTTCAGGCGTTTTAGCATGTTGACGAAATATATGGATAATTATTGAATATCGATCATAAACAGGCAAACCTAAAATATTTTGAAGTTCTATTCTTTGTACGTGTTTTAACAAATTTATACTAACGAATACAGCTGTTATTTGTTCGTTTTGTTTAATTGTTTTCACAAGATTGTCGAGTCCACCCGGACCCAATAAACTTTTCTTTTTAAATGATAGCAAGGGAGCAAACGCTTTATCTATTACGTTCCAATACAATAAAGTTTCTACGAGTGCTACAGATTCAGCCATTTGCAATTCAGGACTGGTGTTTCTTTTTTTATCTTTACCCCATTTTATATATGGTTGCAATAGAAAAACTTTATGCCCACCAGCTATCACTCCTAGGTATTGATTAGAAATAACTTTGTACGCTTCTTTCTCTTCGTCACTTTCAATTAATCTCAATTCTTCTGAAGTATGCTTAAATTTACATACAATTTTGCATACCGATGATTCTATCTTTCTATGCTTTATGTAAATATCATTATAAGCCTTTGACAAATTTTTATTTAAACAAATATGAATAAGAGATCTTAAAGTGTACATCTTTATAAGTTTTCATTCATTTGTTGTGTTTTATCTTTTCATAAAACCTTATCTATACGTAAAGTACACCGTTAAAACTGCATATACTTTATCTGATTAGATCTTAATAAGAGGATAATAACAATACATAAGAATACATAATAATACATAATATTAATACAAAATACGTATAACGTTTAAAATGATAAAACGCGAATAAATATAACCTCTAAACTATGCATATTCAAAATTCATAAACGGAGATACATATATGTATGTATGTTATATTTTATTAGATACATTCACTCGACACTAGAATAATATTCGTTAACTGTTCTTCTTCTCGTTCTAGTCATTTTCCATTTATTTCTATAATATATAAAACTGTATAAAACTGTATAAAACGTAAAACGTCACGTTTCTACAATCGAGATGCATTTGAAATATCAAGAAAGGACACTAAAATAAATGAATGTTCCTGCATTTTAATTGGTGTAAAATAATATGTGTATCAGCCTTTAGGATAGTGATTCGCCTCTTAAAAACCAGAGAACAGACTCTATCTGTTCCATCTGTAACTTCTTTAACAATGACGTTACGGAGGATTGCCATTGATCATAATCAAATCCACTTATCTAGGAAACTATATTTTCTTTTGCTTGTACGTAAATATATTATATCATAGTAAACATTTCGCTTAATTACAATCAAAACGTAACACACGTGCACACCCACCCACACACATATCTTATTTTTTAATTATTATGACTTATTCTTGTAAATATTCTATTTAAGTTTGAAGTTTTTAAAATCATGTAAAACGTTTAAAAAGAAACGTTGATATATGCCGTATTGTAACGTATTATATCGTATTATATATATTACATCGTTCGTATCATATTTATTCGAAGCAGCTATTGATGCAATGTAATTCATTATTTTTATTATTTACAGTCAATTATTGTTTATCTATAATTTAATAATTTTGTACTTGTCATTTCTACTGGTAGCTGTTGAGCAAATTTCATCCATCCATATTATTTCTATTACATCTATCTTCTAATTTAGATTTAATTGTGTAATTACAGTTGGATTTATTTAAGGACTGAAACATGGATTCACCAAAACAAAACGATTCATCTGATTTCGTTGATGTTAGTAATGCATCTAATTTAGTATCCAAAAGCGATTTCGGAAGCCTTGGTTTTGTAATTGACAATGGAAAACCCAGATTTAAATTGGATGAACCTGTATCTACTAATGTCTTTTCAAAAGTTGATTTAACTAAGTCAGAAGATTCTCTTGATGATGACAGCAATACGTTATCTTTTGTCATACTGGGAAAAAAATCGTTAGATTCTATTCAAGCATCATCCATTGCAACATACACCGATATTCAACAGAAATGCATGTCTATTGTACGATAAAAATCTTAGAAATTGATTAAATCATTGATTAATGTGCCATTTTGTTTAATAATGTTTACTTCTTTTGCAGGATTATAATTCAATAATATCATCTTTAAATTCTTCCGAGATACAGCAAAAGTTAACAGAATTATTGCAAGAGAATGCCAAATTAAAAGAAACGTTAAAACAAAATACTATAGCTATGAAAAAACAATTTAATACTTTGGCAATATGGCAAGAAGAGGTTATGAATGTACACAAAAATCACAAGCAAAAGTTTACAGAAACCAGACAATTGATCAAACTGCTTAAAGAAGAGAATGCTGAATTAAAATTAAAACTTTCTGTAAGTTACTTGGAAATTATCTTACTATTAATATTGACGATTCATGTAGAAAGGGCTGCTACTTTTTTATACATTCTATTCATTCTCAATTAGTTTTCTTCATTGTAATTACTATAGAAAGTTTTTAAAATATGTGTATGTTTAAACATATACATTTCGGTTTAAACAATTCAAAATATTATTAGAATGTTCGATGTATATTAAATGATTGTTAATTAATATAGGTCCAATGCTCCATCATCTTTGAAATTCAATATTAAACTGACTCTTTGTCCTTTATGAAAATCAGTTTTAGTCAGTAACTTTTATTGATTGTTGTTTATATTACTTTCCAAGGACTACAACGAAAATAATAATCGTAATAAATAGAATCTAAGATTATAATCTTATTATTTGTGAACATTCTATAAACGGTTATGTTGTAATTGTTTAAACTGAAATAATACATTTGGTTTAAATTAAGATTGTATTACAACACATAAATACAACGTTAAAACGCATTAGATAGAAAAATACTTACTTTTAACAATTAACAAATAAAAATAATCAACATATCTATTATTCTAATCTCTTCAATTAATGACCATTAATCATTTCTATAGAATGTTAATGCTGACGAAATAACAGATGATACAAAAGAATTTAATCATTCGATTATAAAGAAATTTTGTTATTCAATTACTAAAGAATTAGGTGATTCTATTAATTTAAATCACCTACAAGATAAAATAACCTCTTTAACGGATGAACTAAATAAATTTAAATATAATTGTGCTAAAATATCGGACGATGTTGACAAATATATCAGTTTATCAAGTTTGATGAATATTCAATTGAAAGAAAATAATAATTCAACACAGGAGCTTGATATTCAAATAAATGAGCCCAAAGAGCAAAATCTTATATCTGATCCAAAGTCCGAAGAGCAGCAAAATCATACATCAAATGAGTCAGAAGAACAAAATCATATATCAAATAAGCCCGAAGAGCAAAGACTTATATCTAATAAGCCCAAAGAGCAAAGTCTTAAAATAAAAAAATGTAAAGAAGATGACACCACGAATAATCATATTCAAGTTGAAGAAATAAGTGAACTTGGTCATTTGCTTGCAGATGAAATAAAATTGTTACATAGTTCTATAAATGTTAATATGCAACAAATTTCAGATCATATCATTTCTCCTCAAAGTCATTACTTTACTCAAAATATTAAACAATATGGAGAAATGTTGCAGGAAGTAACCAATTGTTTCCTAGAACAAATTTTTCGTCACACTGCTATTCAAAAATGTATCAAAGAGTGTATAAATATATTAGATGCTTGCGAAGGTATAAAATTACCTAAAGAATCAAGTACAACTGTAGAAAATTGGTCGCTACAACTCGATCAAATACAAATTTATAAAGATAAATTATCTATTTATCAAAAGACCTTGCACAAAGAGCAATTGAAATTAATAGAAGATAGGCAATGTTTTATTAAAATACAGAACCAATTTCAAAAGTTATTTTCAGATTATAATTCCATTTTGTACGAGTTACAAATGATGTCGGAAGAAAATATTAAATTAAATTTAATGAAAGATAGTATTTCTAAGGACAATTATCAAGAAATAACTGAACTAAAAAAACAAAAAAATGAATATGAGCAAAAATACAACGAAATTAAAACTGTCCTAGAGCAAGAAAGAGAAACTTGGAGCGAACAAAAGAAGTTATTTGATAGTCTTAAAAATAGTTGGGGTATGGAATTGAAATATTTGATGGAACAGAAAGAAATGCTTTTTAGTTTACAGAAGGAAAAAGAATTAACGTGCAAACAATGTCAATTACACGAGAGTAATCAAAAACTTTTACAAACGGATAAAGAAGCATTGGAACGTAATTGTAAACAATTGACTACAGAGGCCGATGCTTTACGTATTCAATTAGAAGAGAAAGAATGTGCTCTTCAAAGAATTACTATGATCAAGGAAGAACTAGCTAAAGAAATAACAATACAAGTAAGCAAAGTTTACATTTCTCTTTTCTTTTACATAGAGAATCTTCAAAAACATCACTCAATTCTTTATTTTTTGATTTTTTTTTTTTTCACGCCAAATGTGCTTAACAACCATAAGATATTCATATTTAATCTCATTTGTTTTTTATGTATAGAAAAACGAAATGGAACTTTTGAAAATGCAAATTTCGTTTAACGAAGAAGATTTCAATTCCGAGAAGAAAGTTAAAGAGCAACTACTACTTGAAAGAAGCGAACTACAGAAAGAATTAGAAACTGCTTATAAGAAAGTATATGCGTGTCATCATTCAGATCAAGAATAATAATCTAGTCTTTAAAGAGAAAGAAAATCTTTTGATTGTGTTGAAAATGTGTTTTTAAAAAGCAAGTATTTTAATTTAATATTAATTTCTACCATGCCATAAAACAATCAAATATTTATGCTGATTATTATTTCCTCAATAAAAGAAAATGTACTATCTTACAACTATGATATAGTTGTATTAGTTTTTAAGACTTGACAACCTAATATTATTATATCTTTATTTTATTGTTTATTTTTAATAATACATTGGTAATTATGCAGTATTAAATAATAGTCGTGTATGCATTATATGTTTAATATAATATAAATTTTATATATGTGTGTGCGTATATTGTAATATTATCTAAATATTTTTTCACTTCACTCACGGGATCATCCTATAAAATTCTTCTAAGTACTAAAACAAAAAAAAGAAAAAAAAATATATGTATAAATAAAAATAGGATGATAAATATTTTTCTTTTATAAGTAAATTTAAGAAGATGATAGTAAAAAAATGTACTATATGTAAATAAAATATCTATGCAAACAACCAATTTCAAAAATTATGATTGTGCATATTGTGTTTACGTATTATATTTTATTAACTATTGTATACTCATAAACTTGCAAATGAATGTGAACTTCATTGAAAATATTTACAAATTGCATTATTTTCATTTCATATTTATCTCTATCTCTATCTATATCTACTAAATAATAATCTTTTAAATATACATATATATTGATATAATGACGGATATAATCGTGGATATAATCATCATGGCATGCTCGGTAACGGTATGAATGAAATGTATATAAGTATACATGCGCATGCGCATTTCTACAAATGATATTTTCGTAATGTAAAGCAAAGTATTACGTGACCAATAGAGCATCGATAGCTTTGAAAATACAACGTGGGGTAGCGCAGTTTTCAGTGTTAAATATTCCGTCATTTTTATTTCTTATTGTTCTTTTTATAAAACACATATTTTACAAGTGAAACGAGTATATATAACATTTTGTATTTTTCTTCTTTAATATATTTTTCTGATAGATACACTTGTTATACGATACATTTACGATAAGGATTTCTATAAATTGATTGTTTTGTTCATTGACGAGTTCTCATACGTCTTTTGTAAAATGCATCATAATATATGATCCCTTATTTAATTTCAAGTAAATCTATTATGCATATATGTAGATTATTTCCTTATATACTATATTTTCTATAGTGTACATTATATGTTTAAAACCATAACAATTAATAACATTTATTTATCTTTATAACTGATTATATATGCAAATGTTATTTCTTTATAGGAGAAAGGTAGATTATATAAAATTTGGTGAGATGTGACATGTGTTTAATGAAGAAAATTCTTATTATTATTATTGTTGTTTCTTCCTATGTAAAATAATTAAAAATGTCAGATAAAAATCAAACTAATCAACCGCAACCTATTGTCAAGATAGGTCATTATACGTTAGGACAAACTCTAGGCGTTGGTACATTTGGTAAAGTCAAAAGTATGTATATACATATATAATACGTATATATAATGAATTATCATTAAGACTTATGAAATTCTTTCAGTTGGAGAACATGTTCTTACCAAGCATAAAGTTGCAGTTAAAATTTTAAATCGGCAGAAAATAAAAAGTTTAGATGTCGTGGGTAAAATTCGACGAGAGATACAGAATTTGAAACTATTCAGGCATCCTCATATTATTAAATTGTTAGAGATATAATTGATTTCTTATGAATGTTATATGTCAAATATAATTGTCAACATAACATGTCTTTTATTAATTACGATATACAACAGGTATCAAGTCATAAGCACACCAACGGATATATTTATGATTATGGAATATGTCTCTGGAGGAGAGTTGTTCGATTACATAGTAAAACATGGAAAATTGAAAGAGCACGAAGCACGAAGATTTTTTCAACAAATTATTTCTGGCGTTGACTATTGTCATAGACACATGATAGTTCATCGTGATTTAAAGCCAGAAAATCTTCTTTTAGATCATAATCTTCATGTGAAAATAGCAGATTTTGGTATTTTTTTCTTAGTCATTTTTCTTTATGTTGATAATTAAATAATAATATTAATAAGAAAAGAGAAAGTATAATATCGCATACAATTGTTATCAATTTAGGATTATCAAACATGATGATGGATGGAGAATTTTTACGTACCTCCTGTGGTTCCCCCAATTATGCTGCACCCGAAGTAATATCTGGAAAATTATATGCCGGCCCTGAAGTAGATATTTGGTCATGCGGAGTTATATTATATGCTTTACTTTGTGGTACATTACCATTTGATGATGAACACGTGCCTACATTATTTCGTAAAATAAAATGTACGTATTAAATGTATAATTATATGTATTAATGTTCGTCATCATTGAAAACTGTTCAAAATGATAATATATGTCTTTTACAGCTGGAATTTTTCCTATACCGGAATACTTAAATAAGAGTGTTGTTAGTTTACTATGTCATATGCTTCAAGTTGATCCTATGAAAAGAGCTGCCATTGAAGATATCAAGTATACATTTTTTTTATTTTTTTAATATAAACTATTATTTTTTATTCAAAGATGTAACATTAATATGCATATAATATCAGATAAATATCTTGATTACAGGAAACACGAATGGTTTCAAAAAGATTTGCCATCATATTTATTCCCATCGCCTGTAGAACAGGATTCTTCTGTGATCGATATAGATGCCATTAATGAAGTTTGCGAAAAGTTTAATGTAAAGGAAGCAGAAGTTCATTCTGCTTTACTTGCTGGTGATCCGCACGACCAATTGGCAATTGCTTATCATTTGATCATTGATAATAAAAGAATTGCTGATGAAGCTGCTAAAGCAGAATTAAAAGACTTTTATGTAGCATCTAGTCCGCCACCAGTTACATTTAGTCCAAGCGATGCTAACAACAGTCCTTTAAGACCTCATCCAGAAAGAATTGCGCGTGAGTAAAGAATCTTATTTTCACATCTTTTATCATTTATATTTAAATATAATAGACTATTATTATAATAACATTTATATTTTTTTAACATTTTTATAACATAGCATTAAGAGAACGACAGTCCTCACTAAGTTCATCCGTGTCAATGCAAGGTAATAGAGGTACACCAGTTAAACGAGCAAAATGGCATTTAGGAATAAGATCGCAATCTAAACCAAATGATATTATGAATGAAGTTTATCGTGCAATGAAGGCACTTAATTTTGTAAGAATTCATTTGATGATATTACATATTTTCATTATTTACAATATCCTTAAATTCATTAAATAATCCTTATTTAGGAATGGAAGATAATAAATGCGTACAGTGTTAAAGTTAGACAAAAAAATCAATTAACTAGCAGATATAGTAAAATGTCGTTACAGCTTTATCAAGTCGATTGTAAGAGTTATCTGTTAGACTTTAAATCATTATCCAGTGAAGAAACAGAAGATATTAGCAGAGGTATGTTATCAATATATGTTACTTCTATTAATTAAGACTTTATTTATGAGCAATGTTAATGTATTTATATTTTAGATCCTTCTTTGCCGCCACCTCAAGCAACCGGTCATCATACCATGGAATTTTTTGAAATGTGCGCTGCGTTAATTACACAATTAGCACGGTAAACAAATTTCTGTGTTATATAGATACATTACATATATATACTGTATTTTACGTTATTTTCAATATTGATCGCCAATATCTTCTTTAACTGTGTTTATAAGTTATTATGAATATAATATTATGAAATTTCTAGACTACAGATATATGTATATAGCAAAAAATGAATAGTTCCTTTATTCTATTATATATCAGTATTTTCAAATCTTTTTAAAGAACTCTACTAAATTTTATTATATTTAATATTATATTTGATTAATCATAATATTTTGTTGTCTACTTTCGTATATTATTAGTATCAAAATGAATGAAAACATAAAATATTGATTAATTTTCAATATTAATCAATACGAAATTTATATTTCGTATTTTTTTTTTTTTTATTTAATTCAATATAATATAATGATAATAATTTAAAAAATAAATTTTATTATCTGATGTATCTATCTCATTTATTGATATATGCAATGATGGAATAATACATTATAAATTTTATGTTATTGCGCTATTACTTACTTACCTACCTTATACAGCATTAATCTATCAGTACATTTGTTTGCTAATAAAACATTAATTTATTATAAACAAAAATGATGAAATGTGTTTGTGTATGTTTAGAAAAATATACATTACATATTATATCTTATCATATTTCAATTGTTTTATCTAGGTCATCCTTCACTAGATATAAATCGTTGTTTTATAACAAAAAGTTTGGCATCAATTTCTTACTGTAATTAATAATGCAATATGAGATAATTTAACAAATAAAGAAAAACTATGAAACATTTTTCAAATTATAAAACTCTAATTATAATCTCTCTCTTTCTCTCTCTCTCTCTTTCTCTCTCTCTGTCTATCATTATATATATATGTATAATAACTTAAAACGAAAATACACGTTAAGCACCGTGTAATATTAAAATTATGATAATTAAAGATAAAGTTTGTACACAATGGCACATTTTTCTTATTTCAATTTATACATTTATATTTTCACAATCATGATGCTGCCTGAAAAAAAGTGCTCAGTGCGTCCTGATTTAGCTACTAATTCTTAATACTAAAATTAAATTGATATAAAATATATATATATATATACCATATACTAATTATATATATTATATACAGCAAGTCCCAGGAGTATTCATACCCAGTCTTCTTGTAAATTTTCAATAAATTAAAAATGCTTGTGTAATGCAAAACTTAAAAATCTGTATACACAGAAACCTATTTTAGTATTGATAAACTTTTAAATTGATATAAATTTTATTAGAGAAAAACATTTTCTTATCAGTTATGGTAAATTATACTTCTCTTATAATAAAATGTTCTTTCGTAATAAAATCGATATCAATTGAAAAGTTTAATAATCCTTAAATACATTACTGCGTATAAGAATTTTGAAATATTATACTACAAAAAGATATTGATTATTCTAAATAAACAGTGACGAGATATGAATACTCCTGGGACTTACTATATATAATATATTGATATACGCTATAATAGATTGTTTGAAATTATATTCATATTAAGCAAGGCTCCTCAGTATCCAGCTGTAGAGTCTATATTGATGTATTCATGCGCCCATTCATACCATATATAAAAGCATATTTCTCGGTAACAGTAATTAGCGCGTTACAAGCGGTAGTCGTATGAATAATACAACAGAAATTTCCTTTTGTATCCCTTTCTTTTTTACTTACAGCCAAAATCATTTAAGTTTATATTATAATGCCGTATGTGTAAAATGGAATTTGAGTACATTCGAAACACGATAAATACAATATTATCGAATCGAATTTTCTTTTATCTATTCAAGATGTTCTCATATACATCAATTTCGTCTGTTGATACAATAATTAGAAATATTATTTATTTTTTAATACTGTAAATGCTTTTGGGAAGAACTTGGTCATTTATTGTATGATGATGGAAATATCAAATGCCTCTAAAAATATTAATTTTATATAACATGTTGTGCATATATCTTATAGCATAAATTCTTGAGAGATGTCATAAAAAGTAAATTGTATTCTTATAATTAGGAACTTTTAAGTTTTGAGATATATTAAAGCAAATATTATGGCAATAATGTAAAAACCCACGCAAATTTACATTTAAAAAGATAAAAAAAGATATATATATATATAACATTGAATGCAATTCATGTTTCCATCATTGAATACATTTTTCATTATTAGTGTATCATTGCTTGAGAACGCGATCTATGACTAACAGTAAGCAGTGTACAATATATGTACCAACACAAAGATATTTTGGATACATCTAAATAAAATTGTACATTTAAATATTTTAGCGCATAAAGTATATAATAAAAGATATTCATTCTATTATCTATACACAAATTCTATTCTTTTTAAACTTCTTTCTAAATACCATAAAAAAAGATTTAATAATACTAACATCGTAATTCAAAGTTTATATCCAAAATTCATTTTATATTATTCATATTAATTTTGTTTACATAATTGATTGTGAATCAATAGCATTTAATAGAATAATAAAATATTTTTGTTAAATGGATCTTGCAACAGTCATTAAAAGACTAAAAAATACATTTATATACTAAAAATAATAATTCATGAAAAAATGTAGATATTAATTTAAGAAAAGTATAACTTAGTAATATAGATACATTTTATTTCATAAAAACCAGTCTAAAAAACAATATAATATGAATCAATAATGTACTTTAATTACGAATTTAATATTTAAGCTACTTTTTACCTAACAATAGATATAAGCTTATTGTAAATTTTGTCTATAACTTAACTTTATAAACAATTGTTTTTCATTTATTACCAACCACTATCAAGGGTATTATTTAAATATCTTTTAAGAGCACACATAAATGTAAACATACATGTATCTATGCATATATGAAATTATTTTGATATATTTAGTTTAAATAGTATATTTCTTTTTTTGCTTCAATGAATTTAAATACTATAAATTAATATTGAAAGATTCAAGTTTTAATTTCATATAAAGCACATGTCTATTTATACAAATATGAAGCGCGTATATAAGTTTTAGTTTTATCAATTGGTAGATTGTTTCAAGCGGGCTTTATTTTCTGTGATTCTCTTTCTCTTGTTTTACAAATTTGTATGTATGTGTGTGTGTGTGTGTGTAACCATTCTTGATTCGAGAAAAAAATTCCTAAAAATCAATATTGCTTTCATGACTATAGAAGTGTAAATCAATCTCTGTATTGGTACATAAAATAGCTGCAATACTAATAAATTGAGGTGATAACGTGGTCTTCATTGATCACATCTCTGTACATTACTCGAAAGATTTATGTTAAATTTCTTGGTTGTCTTCACCAGTTTCATTATCTACAAATTCTACATGTGTAAATGGAAAATGACCTACTTTGCCATGCAATTCACCTTCCCATTGACCATTTATATTTGTTTTTGTTACCTTTATCATATCACCTACTTCTAATTTTAGAGCTGTTTTATCATATGCATTTGGTACTCTTGCTTGCTTCACTTTTGCAAAAGCAGGTAATGTTCTTTGAATATTTGATCTACGTGTAGCAGTACCTGATCCTGTTTCTGAGTGAGATATTACGTGTGATAAAGAAGGAGGAATTGAATTGGAATTAGATGCAGAGGTATTACCACCCGATTCCAATCGTGTATTATTTTCGGTATTAGCATGACTATCCTCTTCATATTTTTGCACGTAGGGAACTGGAACTGATCCAGTTTGACCCACACTGTTCCTTGCCGTCCACCACTGTTCTTCATCTTTTGAGATCACAGTAAGAATTTCTCCTATAATATTATAAGGATAACACGTTATATTTCTTATTTATAATTTAATCCTAATTGATCATTTTTCAAAAACGTCAAGATAAATGTACCTTTTCTAAATGGCAAATCATCTGGATCGTTACCCTCAAAATCATATTTCGCAATTACTTTCTGAGTTTTTTTTGGTGCAGGTCTGATCAACGGCGTCGTATCAAGGTAATGAAGTTTGTAAAATGCCAAAAGATGCGGAATATCAGGAAACATTTGATCACCAATTCGATAACATATTTGATCACCCTGTAGTATTTTATTAATTATATAATGACTAACTTTGCTATCTTCTCGAACGCAAAGGACAAAGTCTCCATGGATAGATGTACTATCACGTACTAAAAAAACTCCACCTTCTTTTTCTCCCATTAATAAATCAGAAGCATCTTGGCGTGACATAGCGCCAAAGTACCAACTATAAACAAAATTAATTCATTATCATCCATATTATTATATGGCTAACATTATTATATTACATCTTGATTATAATAACAATAATAATAATAAAAATAATAATAATAAAACTTGATATGATATCTAAACTGTCATTCAATCAAGAAAGTTATTATTAAATTTATCATTCGTTTTATTAGTTATGCATTTGGTTATTAAAAAGATTATCATTTATTCAATCTTTATTTTAAGCGTGAAATAAGTTCAAATCTTACAGATACCTGGTTTTATCATACTGATCAAATGTACCAGCCATTGTTCTCCAGTTTAATTGTACTATTGTACCGAGAAGTAATCTTAATTACTATTTAATTCTAATGCATTGCGAAAAGAATCACTTGGAGTGTCATATAAAATCATGTATAGCAGACAAAAAATTATACACAACTAAGTGATTCAGAGTCATGTAATTTAACAAATGATGCCAATACAATAATTAAATAAGAATTTAATTATCGAATAAATATATATTATATACGTTATATATATTATATTATATTATATTATATATACATATATACATATACGTATATGCATATATATATACATATGTATATATATATATTTCTTTTATGAAAATTATCAATTTTCTTAATAAGTTCGACGCTTATTTATAAAAAACACTTCGTTATTAAATGTTTTCCATATGAATTTGTACAACACAGAAATGTCACGGGCATGTTTAATATGAACATGTTCAGATGTTACACTCAATTACGATTTAACTCATTACGATATTCAAGTTGTTATGTTGTTCTTTTCTTCTTTTAATGCAAGTGTTTTTCTTTTCACTATTGTATAAATTGTATAACGATATTTAACATTAAAAAGATTATAACAAATAAATTATATTGAAATAGCAATCTTCAAAAAAAAATGGTTGCTACTGCATGCTATACTTTTGAAGAAATTTCTAATAGGGCTATACATATATAATACCATACGACCAATCAGAAAAGTATGATCGTTGTATAAACCAATGACAACAATTTTAATAAAGAAAAAAAATCATTTTTATATAAAGTATTATATTAATAAAGAAATTTGATAATTTTACAGGAAATAAGATTAATAAATGTTTATTGTCAATTTTATTAGTTTAAAGAAATGATTTGAAGTTATCACAAAAGAAATGTAATGTTAATTTATTGATTTGGTAGTACTGCAACATTAAAGGTAACTAGAACGTAAATAGAATTTAACGCGCGAAATTGAAATGAACAACTTATTGATATTTATTGATAAAAATAAATTCTTATAATTATACAATAATATTAACATTTGTTAATATTTTAGATCACAGATTGACTACAATAAGAAGATCTATAGATTTCGTTTATGCTCTATTCATCTTATTGATAGTGAATACGATTTGGAAATGCATCATGACATATAACTATTCCTAGTGATATGACTAGAGATACGATTAAGGATACAACTGAAAATAATACTAGTGATAATCTTGAGACATTTCACTGACAGGAAAGTGTTTCGAATCTTGTGTTATAGGAACTGTCAAACTTCTAATAAATTTTTATGTTATATTTGATATTATATTAATAATTATTAAGAAATGATGTCAGAACGAGATTACGCGCCATTAAGTGCAGCGTGCGTTCGTTCTTTGAATGACAAAATTTATGAAAAGCGCAAAGCAGCTGCTTTAGAAATAGAAAAGTGAGGTTATATTTACTGTATGATTTATTTAATCGATACGCTAAAATGTGATCGTTTATATGATTTACAGAATGGTCAAGGAATTTGCTGCTCACAATAATACTGTTCAAATAAAGAGATTATTGAAAGTTCTTGGTCAAGATTTTGCAACTTCGCAAAATCCACATACAAGAAAAGGAGGCTTAATAGGCCTAGCAGCTATAGCTGTTGGTTTAGGAAAAGATACTGGCCAATATATCGAAGATCTCATTCATCCAATAATAGCATGCTTCTCTGATTCTGACTTAAGAGTTAGATATTATGCTTGCGAAAGCCTTTATAATGTAGTCAAAGTAGCTAGAGGTGCGGTGTTGCCTCAATTTACAGATATTTTTGCAGCTTTAAGTAAATTAGCATGTGATTCGGAGCAAAATGTTAAATCTGCGACAGAGTTACTCGATAGGCTTATGAAGGTAATCATTTTATTTTGTTTAAATATATTATTATTATTATTATTATTATTATTATTATTATTATTATTATTATTATTATTATTATTATTATATTTAGCATATATTTCATTCAATATAATTACATGCTGATTTCATATGCTTTTTATTCTAGGATATTGTAACGGAAAGTAGTGTGTTTGATTTAGTTGGTTTTATGCCACTTTTAAGAGAACGCATTTATACTAAAAATACATTTGGCAGACAATTTATTATAGCATGGGTATCTGTCTTGGATGCTGTACCCAATATGGATTTTATTATATTCTTACCTGAAATACTTGATGGATTATTTAGAATTTTAGAGGATCCAACACCAGAGATTAAAAAAACAACAGATACAGTTCTTGGTGAATTTTTACGTAGCATCAAATCGAATCCAGCGAGGGTAGACTTTCCAGGAATGATTAATATATTAATTACTCATGCTCAAAGTACCGACGAACTATTACAATTAACAGCGATAACTTGGATTAAAGAATTTGTACAGCTCTCTGGTCCAGTTATGTTACCATACATGTCTGGAATACTTGTGGCTGTTTTACCATGTTTAGCATACGATGGAGATACAAGAAAAAATATTAAAGAAACTGCAACTCAAGTTAATGCAAATTTAATGAAATTAATAATAATGGAAAATTCAGATGTTTCAAATAAAGGTTTAATTAATGAAAATAATATCAATTGTGCTAAAGAATCTAAAGGTACTACTTACAATAACAGCTTAATTGCAATGAATACATATATAAATCGCAATGACACATTTTCTTTTCAGATGGTAACCAAAGTTGTTCTCTAGCTGAAAGTCTAGATTTGTCTAGTTTGGTAGAAGTGCTCACCAAACACTTAATGTACATGTCTGTTCAAACTAAAGTTGCCGTTTTAAAATGGCTTTATCATTTGTTTACAAATATTCCACATAAAATGTTTGATCATATAGAAATATTGTTTCCAATTTTAATGAGATCTTTGAGTGATAATTCTGACGAGGTAGTACAACAAACTTTAGTTGTAATGGCCGAAATAATAAGTTCTAAATCTTCAGAAGCAATTACAACTGATTACCGTAATAAAGTGCAAAATATATATTTTACTAAGTTTATTGTCAATTTATTAAGACTATTTTCAACTGATAGACATTTATTAGAAGAAAGAGGTGCTTTTATCATAAGAGAATTGTGTGTATTACTCAGTGCTGAAGATATATATAAAACATTAGCAAAAATATTGTTATATGAAGAGAATTTAAGTTTTGCGTGTACTATGATACAAACTTTAAACATTATTTTACTAACAAGTTCTGAATTATTTGATTTAAGAAATAAATTAAAAGATTTGGATTCTTCAGTAAGTATATAAATAGGATAAACGTTGTAAGTATATATTGTTTATAATTTTAACTGATACAGTATACAATGTCGTATCTAGGAAAGTTGTGATTTATTCCAATGTCTTTATGAATCTTGGTGCCATAATCCAGTTGCAACTGTAGCTTTGTGTCTCCTATCACAACTTTATCCCCATGCACTTAATATTATCAAATCTTTGTATCCTTTGATTACTGATAATTGATTACGCAATTGATATAATTTTGACAAACTTATACGATAATATTTTTCTTAATTTTATATCATCTAGCGAAAATATAGAAGTTACTGTTGAATTTTTGACGGAAATAGACAAATTAGTACAACTTATTGAATCACCTATATTTACGTGTGAGTACATTATGCATTATTATATATATTGAACATTAATACACGTTATTATATATGTATAATTTATATTTTTCTCTTTTAGATTTACGTTTACAGTTATTAGACAGTGAGGATAATATTGACTTAGTTTATGTATTGTACGGTTTACTAATGATACTTCCTCAAAGTGAGGCGTATGCAACTTTACAGCGACGATTATCTGCAATTCCTCCAGCAACAAAATCATTGAGTCTTAAAAATAGTAAAGTATCCAATAAACGACAATTGAACTTTATTGATCTATTATATCATTTTCATGCTATTCAAGAAAAACATAAAGAACATAAACATAAACAGAGATTAACTTCACTAATTGAAAGAAACACTAATCAAATTGATTTATGAAATAATAATAATAAGTATATTACAGAATGTAAAATATATTCAGTTATTCATTTTTAATATGTTTATAAAGCTCTGTTAATTTTATTTTTATTGAACATATTATTTATCGATGTAAAAAGAATTAGTTTTTACATTAATTTCAATCGTATTATTATATTATACATTATATTAAATATATAATACTTTCAATTAAGATACATTTGAAATAAATAATTCATATATAAAATGTATGTGGAATATGTAAATTGTACTTTTACTGAATCTATGATAAATTACTTTTTTTTTTATATACTGCTTCTCTAGTTTATAATAAATAATGTATTCAGTCTTCTTTTCATAACATTGTCTAATATTTTTATAAGCTGACGAACATGTTTTTAACATTTTGAACAAGTTCGTGGTTGTTAAATTAAATTAAGATTTCTTAGAGAGAGAGAGAGAGAGAGAAAGAATGTATAAAAGAAACAATCTATAATTAGGATCTCATTTTTGTAATTCAATTAAAAAAAGTTTTATTTTAAAACTAACTTATTATAGATAGTTCCTAAAATAGTTATTAAATTTTAAATATTCATTTAAATATCTCATATTCAGGGTCTTCTGCATTTTCTAAAATATTATCCATCGTCGATAAATGATCAAGTTGATCTATTAAACGTCCATTATCATAAAGAATTACAGTTATTTGTTCTTGCATATCACAAATCTTTTTCCATTTTTTTGTACTTTCTTCAGCAGGTGTATTTGCTTTTTCATTCGTTTTAAATATACCCTGAAGCTCATCGAACAAATTAAGTAGACTATCATGTCGTTCTTTGCTTTCTTGAGAAAGTCTATAAGAATAAGATTCCAGGGTAAGTTCATAATTAGCTACATCTTTGTCTAAAATTTGAGCTTGTAGAAATACAGTTTGTGCCATTTTATACCAATCAGCTACACATTCAGATCGTTGAGTCATTGCTGGTATACATTCTGTTTCGAGAAGTAATTTTATTCGACGACCTGTCTCCATTACCTATACAAAATGTAGAATTAAAGCAGAGTAATAATTATTTTGTTTTTCTTTAAATATGGTATTATATTAAATGTATTAATAATAATAATACCTTTATACGTTCTAAAACATGAAATTGCTCATCATTATAAGTAAGACTACGTGTAGCCCTATCTCTTAATAAATGTTGCCAGCCATCCCTTAAACGATCGACTAAAGTAGCAGCACGTTGACTTGCTTTTGCGCTCCATGGGCACCAAAGTCCGCGAGTACTAATTTCCCATTCTCCATGTAAACTACCTCCTTGTATATATCTGAGAAAATGATAAGAATATAGTAATAAATAATATTTATATTATATACTATATGGATATATACATATATGGATATACCTCTGATAAAGTTGTTCAACTGCAGGTGCTAGTTCGGTGAATAATTCTTTACTCTTTAAATCTAATTCCTTTTTCCAATTTTTAGGCTCAAAGCTTACTTGATTGGCGTATTTTTTGAGTACTTGTCTTGTGAAATTTTCACTTCTTTCTATAGCTATTGCAGTTACTTCTATTGCTTTAGTAAATTCTTTCAAATGTTGACACTTTCCTAATACCTTATTAAGTTTTGTAGCTAAAAGTCCGCTAAAAGCTTCTATTGCATTTTGCATTAATTTACTGCATAATGATAATTTATCAATTCTGCGCTTACAAACGTGTCCAACCGAACATGCCACTTTTGCTTGACTAGCATCATTTTCCACAGAAACCAGGTTTGCAAAAACTGGAAATTTTGGTAATTCACTTTCCATCGGTAAAATGACATTGTTGTTTTCCTTCGAGAATAACATAAGAGGTTTATCAGCACCTATATTTGGATACCCTTTTCCAGGAGTAGATTCTTCAACAAAATTAGTAAGGGGCATTTCACCGAATAAAAGTATTTGAACATGAGGCGGGATTTCTGTTTGATCTTGGATGTGAGCCTGAAGTGCTACAAATTTTTCTTCAGGGTGTAAAAATACTTTAATTAAGCTGGCTTTATGTACATTAAATATATAAATCGGTTTTCTACATAGAGTATCTGTAACTTCGGTAAAAAATCTTTCAAAATTCCATATTCTTTGTGGATCAACTTCCAATAAGCCAGCTAATAGAGGAGTTACTATTTTCTTTAATCCATCGCTTAATTGACAGTTTAGAGGTAATTCTTTACTCCATTCTATGGGACCATTTTCTGAAGTTTGCATACCAGATATAACTCCGGAAGCTTTTTTGGTTGTTATATAAAACATTGTCTCTTTGTTTCTACGTCCACCAAATGGTCTGAAAGGTAGATTTCCTGTTGCAACATGATATAGGGTTACACCTATGGACCATAGATCAACAGTCGCTCCGAAAGTTTTGCCAAAAGGTTTTCGCAAGACTGCTCTTTCATACATATCTGGATGTAAATATTCTTCGGTACCATAAAGAGAAACAAATTGTTGATCCTCTTGCAATTCTCGCGCAGCACCAAAATCAGTGAGTTTATAAATCGTACTACCATCATCAGCAATAAATTTCATAATATTACCTATAATAAAATATACATTTAATAAATTTATATTTGCTCAGATTTGTCAAGCAACAATTCAAAATACAACATATAAATATAGTACAAATATAGTTTGTCTTCAATCTTCTACTTGAAATATATTTATTTCACCTGGTTTTAAATCACGATGTACTAAATTATTGTCACGTAAATGTTTCATTCCTGCAGATAGATGTTCTAAGACTAATAAAAATTCGTTTTCTGCTAGACCATAAGTATTTTCTGGATCGTCTAATATATTGAAAAGACTGCCTCCTGTACAAAGTTCCATAACAATTACTTTACCACGTCCATCTTGTTCTTCTTCTATTGCTAATAGTTTAACAATATTTTCATGTTTAACTTTCTTTAATACTTCGAATTCTCTCATCTGTACGTCATGTGGACGCATATGACTAAGCTGATTGAAAGTTTTGACTGCTACAGGCTCCCCATTGTTTTTATTTACTCCTTGAAACACTGCACCGGTTGCTCCTTTTCCCAATACACTGGTCGTACACCAAACATAATTTGCAGATCCTCGTAGAAAGGACATATTGGTCTGATTTATTTGATTCAGCAAAAATTTGATTATTCCTTTTTATTTAGTATTTCTAACACTGTCTATCAACATTTTTTATCTGCACATTTATCAATATTTAATTTTCTTTACAATATACCATTTAATACCATTTCAATTAATTACTAATAATAAAAAAACTTGTTTACTTGATTATTTTATATTAAATCATTCACAATATTATATATGTATAATTTTATTTGTAATTTAAAGGAACATGAACTAGCTTGTTTGTCTGGTAACATATGTTTCGCCATCTAGCGGTACTAGCTATTACTTCATTCTACCGACTAGTTAGAGCACTATAGAGATGAGTACTCTTATCCGCTCTTTTTGCTCCTCGAGTGAATGGACAGTTTTAAAAAAACATATGTAGTGAGTGTTAGTCTGTGAGTTTTATCGTTATTTTTTGCAATTTTTTAAATTATTTGTGAATGAATGAAGAAGAAATTTTATTGAAATCGTGTAATAGTCGTAGACAACTAGTGATTTCTGTCTGAAAACATATTGAAAAATACATTTGATTTACTAAAAGTATTATTTGAGAAAATCAACATTGATTTTCCAAATTGTTGCTGTGTTAAGTACAAA